AATTAAAAGAACCTCATTGAATATATATATAATTTTCCAAAGGTTTTTTTTTTAATAATAATAATTATTTCTAAAACAATTTAATCATTATCATTTAAAAATATATTTCTAACATTATTATCGACCCTCCCCATAATGTATTATTGTTTGTGTAATTACTACTATTAATACTAATATGCAAATAAAGTATATAATACAATTAGTGAATTTAACAAATATAATAAATTTTAATTATGATGAATAGTTGTTAAAACATACATGATAAATAAACAGCAATTATTTAAACTTAAAAAAATATATCTTAATAAGGTTTCAAACAAATTTAACTAGTAATTTACATAAATAAAGTGGTATACTTTTTTAATGACCACATTTTTTTCCGGATAATGTTTAATTATTATAAAGCAAATATACCTTGAATAATATCTATATTGATGGTAATTTATTGAAATTTTAGATATTTTAAAATAATATTTTAATAAATGTACTTACGACTGGATTAATTCTGAATGTTCAACAGCAAACAATCTTTATCGTACTGCATTTAATAACTCTTGAAAATTATATTGGATTATATTAAAAAAAAGGGCATCATCATATATAATTTAATGTACATTTCATGAAACGTTGAAAACTTGCTAGAATAATTATTTAGTCCTTATACACAAGAAGAAAGAAAATTGCTTTTATTAAAAAGTATGAAATAACTTCAATTTACTAAGAAAATTGCAATGTGTATTAAAAGTAATTTGTTTCCATGGTAATTGTAACTTTGAATAATCAAGAATACTTTACTATTATAACATTAACGTTTAGCCAGTAATTATATTTTAAAAATCATTGATGTTTGATAGCAAAGACAATAATGTAACATTTGTAAAACAAAATTCACTACACTACTCTTTTAAAAATATATTGAAAATAATAATATAACTATAAAAATATAATATATTGTATGTTGCTAAAGATATGTTTTTTTTACCATAGAGACGATTCCTATTAATGTAACATTTCCCGTATAGCCAACTTAATAATATTAAATTATTACTATTATTTATTATTTTTTATAAAATTTCGAATATTTAAAAATATTTTTATAATTAATAACAATTTTTAATAAAATAAATCATAATCTTTGATAAAGTTAATTTTGCTCATAATTTACACATTTTAAATTTAATACTTAGTAAGTATTAGTTTTAATAATATATTCTAGTAAGATTATACTGTCTTTAAAGTGTAATGTCAGGGAAAAAAATGACACATATACTAATAACTTGATATATATAAAGTTCGATAGCTAATTTTAAATCAATTGTCACCGATGAAATTCATCCACTTCAAAAATGTTCTGTTTACATAGGAATGTTATTAAATTTTTACCTATCCACTTTTCATTGTGTCAGTACTAGGTTTTACAANTTTCATTGTGTCAGTGCTAGGTTTTACAATTTTTCTTGTGCTTGAAAGAAAGTAGTTTAGGTGGGATAAATTTCTTCCAATAAAAATTATTACATGATGAAGATATTATTATTTTTTTTTTAGGGAGAAATAATAGTTATTCAGAACAAAAACTCTATACTAGACCTAACCCCATGACCTATACTAGTGGAGGCATGATTGCAATGCATTTTATGAGGAAACAAGGTTTTTTTTCATTAGGAATTGTTGAAATGTCTGTAGGAGGGTTATCTTAATACTTAATTTTCTATGGCATTACACATAATCTACATGAATTCATGTATTACGCATATTCTGTCATGGAATAAAGTATAAAGTATAACTCTCATACAGGTGTTTCACAATTCCAAAGTGAAAAAAATTCTAAGTTAAGCAAAAGAAAAAAAGTTTTCTACAAAATAATGATAAAAAATAATTGAAACGGTCATTTCAAAAACGACATAAGTAATAAAACTTAAATTTCCTTGTATCAAAAAAAACTTAATAACTCTAGAAATCCAACTTGTTTTGCACTTCACCTAGTTACTATTTTATAAGGTTTCTAGTATTCATAATTCATAGTTTTAAATAGTCTAACTTTGACCAAATTCATTAAATTGAAATCTAAATCAAGAAATAAAATAAAAATTTTTTTTTTTCCTAAAAATTTAACTTATCTTAACTTGTCTATAGGTAACAACTTTTTTCAAAATAAAAATTTTGTTGTTTTTGCTTAATAAACCATTGCACTTTTAATAAAACATAAAAATATATATATATATTTCTCTTTAATAACAAAAACTTAACTTGACAAAATGTTACAATACAGAATCATTTTTGAATGAAGTCATTGACTTTTGTAGTAAATATGAATCTGACAAATGAAATTTTTATCCAAAATACATAATAATGTATAATTATCAAATTTAACTAAGTCATTACTGAAAAATCAGTGACAAATGTAGTTTTTGAAATGCTTGATTCAATTGAAGTGCTGGTTTCAAAAACAACCAGCATTTTGTATAACATACAAATTCATGCAATTTTGTGCCTTAAATTGTTTGTAACAATGAGAACAATAGAAACCCGTTTCCTGACTTACTGAACACTCTGTATATTAACTCAAAAATATCTGTTTACAGTTTTTNCCTTGATATTTTCGATAGCAAGAATCGATAATTGTAAAATCAAATGATGCTTTACAGTTTTATATGAATAAAAACTCCTAAATTTCCTAGAATTGAAACAGCCACTTTAATAAGTCATTAAGATAAGGCCGCGTCAATGACGATAATTTTACGCTAGTGGTATGTTTGTCCGCTCGACCAAAAAGCGTTGTTTTTTACAATTATTTTGCATTTTTACATAAACTTATAAATCATTTAATCTTGTTAGTATTCATCTTAGAGTTTTGAAATTTTGAGGAGGCAAAGAATATAACATTTAGAAATGTTTGTAATGAGCTTTTTAAGATATCACTATTCAGCAATGATTTATTGCAGTTAAAAAAAAAAAAAAATTGATTTTTTAAAAAATTAATTACACTCAAACCAAAAGTCCCCCCCAAAAAAGCCTATAACAATCATTTCGAAATAATGTTTTTTAAATATCCTCAAAATATCAAATTTCTACGATTACTTTAAACTGTATAATATGAATTATACTTTTGATCATTTTCAAGCCTAAAATTATGGCGATGTAGCGTCCTCTTAATATGAACATACTATACTTACATTTAAAATTAATAAATTTGTGTACATAGAAATAATCAACAAATATCAAATACTATATTTTTTGTGGACCTCAACAAAATGACACTTTTGCTCGTTTGTCTATTAAGGTCAGAGTTGGGTCAGTATAGTACACAAAATTATAAGTATTATATGTACATATTACACATCTACTTTTTTACAAACAATACTTATATCATGACAAATGATTCATAATTAAAAATAGATTATTTTTTCAATTTATATTAAAATATTGTATTTATTTAATTAATTTTTACTTCACTTTAAAAATATAATCGCTGAAATCCCAAAAAAATTTCCACAAGAATGACTAACACATAATTTATTACACAAAATATAAAAACATGAAAAAGTTAATATTTTTTTAATTTTATGAGATCATCAACTGATGTTTATTAAATAAAAGGTTTTAAATCATGTGATCTATTGAAAAATAAAATTTTTTTAAAGTATTATACATTTTATACATCTACATGTATACATTTTCTATAAGTAAACAGATATTTTTGAGTTAATATACAGGGTGTTCAGTAAGTCAGGAAACGGGTTTCTATTGTTTTCATTGTTACAAACAATGAGAATAATAGAAACCCGTTTCCTGACTTACTGAACACCCTGTATA